CCGCGGCCGTGGAGCTTGGGCTCGCAACAATCACGCCGTCTTTCCGCACGTACAAGACGGTCGTGTCGGAGTCTCCGACGGCAGTCGAGGTTAATCCGGCGAGTTGTTCGGTCGGAGGAGATGAAATGGGTCGGGGTCCAAGAATCCCCTTCGAAAAACCCGGTTCTAAGACCATTCCGACTGGGAATCCGGCCACTTGAGGTTTTCTGGCGGTCCCGCCGGCAGATGCGCCGGCGCCGGCGCCGGCGAAGGGTTGGGCGGGTTCTACAGTATGGTGGGTGGCGGTGGGAGTGAGCTGAAGACCGGAGTCGGGCTCGTGGGGAGGTTGGGAGGTGGGTTTAGAGGGCTGTTGGTTGGTCTTGTGTGGGTTGGTCTTTGTAAGGCCAAATTGGGATGAGAAGGCCGTGTTCAGAATCGGGCCAGAGGAGGGTAAATCGGGATTGGGCCGAGGAAGGTTGGTCTGGAGCGAGGGATTGGACCCCAAGATTAGGTTATTGTGGGATGTATCTTTGGGCTTAGGTAAAAAATTTTGTTTTTGGGCCAATGGATCAAAGTGGCCCACCATGTGCGTTCTTGGATGAGAATTGGTCTCATTGCCTTGAGTTTCTCCAAAGCCTACCATATCGCCGTCACTCAAAAGCTGATGAGAGAGGAGAGGGAGCTGACCAGTTTTCATCGGCGGATCATCCAACCCGGCGATGCGATTTTCCGTAGCTTGGGGAATCTTGGTCACAGCAGGTTGGGTGGGATGATTTTCAGAACCACTCGGCACCTCATTCGGAGTCTTGGTCACAGCGGGTTGGTGAGCGAGCCCATGCGGAATCTTGGTCACAGCCGGTTCGACGGAACCACTCGAAGCCTCGGGCGCAAAGTGGTGGATAAGACTAGTTCCGGCCACCGCACGAGGATTTTCAGTATCTTCCAAATGAGGATTTCTGACATAAAATTCCTTAAAAAGTTTGCGAAATTCTGGGTTTGAGACGAGTTGTAAGAGCTCCGGCGAGAGATTGGCAGGAGCATGGTGGGGGTCAATGATGGACTGAGGCTCTGAATCCGGCGCTGTGAGCTGTTCCGGCGAGCCTAGATGCGGCAACGGGAAGAGAGACCCGAAACTGATTTGTGATTCTTTACGCCCGATTGATGCAGCGGCGGGGCTAGATGTGGCGGCGGGGCTAGTGCTCGTCTGTTTTGTATTTTTTCCGATTATGTCTTGTAATTTTAGCCGTGAATTTGGTTGAACCTTTTTGGCATGTTGGTGCATCTGGCTATGAGCACCTTCTTCTATTTCACCTTCTTCTTTGATATCTCCTTCTTTTTTATTTTCGGTATTTGTGGTTTTGAATTCCGTGAGAAATGTTGCGAAAGCTTCACGAAAATTCTGTTGATTCACCAGAATTTCCAAATCTGAAATTTGGATGTGGGACGGAGGTTGACTGGTTGCCGGGGTACTGGGCAGGGGATCCATAAATGGTCGAAGAATAACAGGGAAATAAAAGGAAAAACTGACAGGTCCGGCGGCCCGGCGGCAGGCCGCCGGCGGCGGCAACTGGTGGCAGAGACTATGCGGCGGTGGTGATGGTGGTGGCGGAGGGGGGGTTTAGGTTGGATGTGAAATTTGAAAATCCTAGAGAGAGAAAAGTAGAGAGAAGTGAGAGCATTTTTTTTCTGATTGTCTTTTGCTGCTAGGTTAGTTGTCTTTTGCTGCTAGGTTAATTGTGTTTTGTTGCTAGGTTAGCTATGTTTTGTTGCTAGGTTAGTTTTTTCTTGCTGCTAGGTTAGTTGTATTTTATTGCTAGGATATTTCTTTCTTGCTGCTAGGTTAGTTGTCTATTGCAACCCATAGGATTTGAACATGGTACCTCATGGAAGCAAGACAAGCAATGCAACCACTACACCACTCAAGGTTGAGTGTCTTAAGTTGCTAGGTTATTTATTTCAATGCAACGGATCAACGCCGGAAGTCAACGGTCAACGTCGAAAGTCAACGATTTCCGCCGGAAGTCAACGGTCAACGTCGGAGTCAATGGTCAACGCCGGAGTCAACTAATAATTATTTTATTATTTAATTAATGTATATTTTAATTGATTTTGATCTAGATAAAATGAGTGGCTAAGATTGAGTCTCACGTACTCATTTTAAAGAGGGACCTCATTGGATCCGTCCCCTATATATATATATATATAATGAGTATAACCATTTATTAAAAATAGTAGCAAAAAACTTTTGGAACATTAAATGAACACCTTTTTTTGGAAACTTTTAAAATATATGCATTAATTGCTTCTATATACACAATTCCAAATCACATCAAATCAGACATAATCAAAAAGATTATTTCCTTTAATAATTTTATTAACATCTTTAATAATGTAACTTATATCCATTATAATAAACTACGAATTTATTTTTTCGTAATTTATATTAATTATTAATTGTCAAGATAGACATGAAAATGTCTTTAAAATTCTAAGCATATTATTTTTTTCACAAATATTGACTTTCATCTTAAAATATTTATGAAAAATTGTAACATGTTAAGTAATTTTTTCCTCATCTTTATTTCATTATATATATAAAAAATAAAAAAAAATTCTTCAAAATAATATAATTTACCATTTAGGAGATAATGACCATATACATTAAATAATTTTATTAATAGGAAAATAATGAAATTGAAATATATTAACTATTCTTTAGAATTTCAACATGTGATTTATTTGTATATTATTGTTAACCATGGTTAATTTTTTATCATTTTTTATTTTGATTTCTCTACATAGTGAAATTCTCTTAAAATATATTTCCATGCTGAATAAAACATAAAGCCTTATCATGCAAATTAGAAAAATCAAAGATGTTTAATTATTACAAAAAATTAAATTTTAAAAAACATTTATGTATATTTTGTAAAATATTTGTACACAATGTTCTATTTTTAATTTTCTTACATAATTTAAATTAATTACATTAATAAATAATATTAACTTACATTAAATATTTTCATTACAGAAAATAAAAAGAAGAAGACGACTACATCTCTAACTTTTATAAATAATAATAATGACATTATATTACAACAAATTTTATAATAAAATAATAATTTATTATTATATGAGGAACAAGAATAAGTAAAATTGTTATTTTTTTATATCAAGTAATAAATATATATACTAAAATAAAATTTATATTACTATAAACGTGTTAGCGGCATAATATATTAATTAATTTATGGGCTAGTTCTAACATATTCAATTTTAACATCTTGATAAACAAATGAAGCTGATGAAAAAAGGTGAAAAATAGATGATTCAACTCTATTATTTTTTAGACTTTGAGGAACAAACTCTATATAAATACTCATTTAATATCTCTGTGAAGTACATAACAGACAAGATATATGAAAATGATAGAAGCATGTGATTTTAATTTCTACCCAAGAAAGTGGTCGCATTAAATTCTTGTGCTCGAAATATAAAACCACATGATATAAACTTGTGTTGTAGGCACTTACTTCAAAGTGCCACTATGCACACTCCTCTCCTCGCAGACTTTTGATTTCTCTTCTAATTATTAAATTAAATTGTTGAGCAAAACTAAAGCAAAAGATGATTATGCATGTGACAAAGTGAGTTGTTATTATAATTTGATTCTTGGGGGGCCAATTGCCCATCTTTTTCTCGTAAAAGTACTTCAGCTGGCGCTATATTACAAATATACAATCAAGGGAGCCTCTTTTGCTGATGACTGAGTGTTCCTGTTGTGTGTGAGATCTCTGTCTTTGCAGAGAGTAGTTCTGAAGTATCCGTTGTTCTCGAAACAAGATTAACAGGTCAGTTTTAAAGAAATAACATTTCCAAGATTTTTGAGAAATCCGCATGTAAACTTCCACGAAATTGTTAAGGATGTCTACATTCTTCGAATTTCAGATTTTGGGAGTGGTTGTTTATGGGTTTGAACAAAATTTTAGCCTCATATTTTTATTTTTTATTTTTTTTTTATTTTTTATTTTTTTTAATCTTCAACGAGAAACTTATTACTTTGGTGTAAAGAATGTGCAATGAAGAAAGACGGGCAAGCAAGAATGTAGACATTTCTAAAAGTTACCCTTTCTTGTTCTGATTTTAAAGTTTTAGGCGAACACAAGTTTTGTCTTTTATGAAATGTTTGAGTAAATTCAATTTGAATCTGCCAAAGCACGCACAAGTTACTGCAGATTGCTAAATATTGAAATGGGTTCATTCTTAGTCGCTCCTTTTCAGGTGGAGTTTTCTTGCTATTCAGTACAAATTTTAAATTTCCTTTAGTAATAATTTATTGTGTATATATGTGAGTTTTTCAAGTGTGGGGTTAAAATGAATCAAACTATTCCTTACGTGAGCCTAAAATATAACTTTGACAGGCACATACTTTCCTTGCTCTACAATTTGTTGGTATGATGAAGGGTACTTGACCTGTCTTACACAGGAAAATAATATTTTGGTACAAACATAATTTTCAAACTTTAATCAGTTTTGATCCTGAAACTAAATGGCACTTCAAGATTTACTGGGAAATGATTTATGTAGATAGTATTGAAGTTGACTGAAACCCTTTGAGGTGATCTTTTATATGCAATTTAGTTAGCTAACAATATCATGCTTTTACAGGATGGGTGAGCCTGAGATGGCAAAAACTGAATCAAGTGAAAATGGAGTTGCCCAATCTGAAGAAATAACTGCATCAGAACATAAAAGTCATGTCAGAAAGAAGAAAGCTCTGCGGGCCCGTTATGCTTATGGCGTCATTTTTCTGTTAACGAATATCATAGGTTGGCTCTTTAGAGACTATGGAGAAAGGATATTGCCTATGTTGCCTTGTAAGTTCTGCATTTTCTAGCTTTTCCCACATTTCCTGGGAGAGAGTTTTCTAGGACTAGAATGTTATATAATGCACACATCTAGTAAGTTGCATTGTGTTTTGTTTATTTAATTGGAATTTGTTACAGCTCTTGAAAAGTCGAATTAAGTTGTCACTTGTCATCTGAGATAATGAACTTGTAATGGCATCTAATTGTTCTATTGATTTAAACCTTTTCTCTAGGTTGTTATGAATCTAAAGGGAACTCAGACTGCATTGTTTTATCTTATCAGCAACGAAAGAAAAATGAACTTACTGCCGAGTTATTCTCAATAAAATTGAATTATCTTGTATATTCTTATTGCAGATTCAAAAGCCTGTGGGGCAAAGGAGCAAGAATGTTACCATACAATGGGAGTGCTTCGAGTCAGTTTTGGATGTTTTGTATCCTTACACATATTTGAATTGCAACGTTTGTTTCTTGTAGATTTTGTATGTTTGGCACTTCAATCCACAGTGGCATTTTCTCTCAAAACTCACTCGAATGCTATTTTTTTATTTTTTTTTTATTTTTTTTACAATGTTCTTTTTTTTGCTCATAATATTTAGGATATAGCAATTGGAAAATCTGATTTGAGCAAAGCTTTTACCTTGACACACTGTTATAGATATTCTTTTTTATAATGTTTCTGACCACTGCCAACACAAGAAAATTACATGAAGTTAGACATACATGGCATTCTGGATGGTGGGGTCTGAAGTTTATCTTGTTGCTGATCTCTTTCATGATTCCGTTCTTTATACCCTCGGATTACATTCAACTCTATGGTATGTTTATCAGAACAAAATATAATATTCAAGATTTCTTGAGCCGGCTTGTCGTGTTTACAGAATATTAGTTCAGGAAAATTGTGACACTTGTATTTTCTGTCAATCTTCATTCTTCTGAAATTTAAAAGCTTTCATTAATATATTTGCAGGTGAGCTGGCTCGTGTTGGCGCAGGGTAATCCTTTTTAATCTTATCCACTTTTAACATGAACTCTCTTTCGGTGATGGTTCTAAGGCTCGATACATTCAATATCACAGCTGTTGGAAGGGGAATTAACAAGTAAAGAACTGATATAAGACTTAGTGAAATCTCAATGAGATTAGTTAGTCTATGTGGAATGCTATCACAGAACTGTCAAGTTACGGCTTAATGATAACCAATGGATAGACTGGACATGGCCATAAATGCATTCACTGTTTTGCTTTATGTTGTAGAATTTCATTTGTGGCTTCATAATAAATAACTGACATGTAATTATGGAATAGGGTTCCATTTTCTATACTAGTGCAATCTTCTGTAAGCAAAATACTCACCAGTTAAAATCTTTCCATAAATTCTACTCTGTAACTTTAATTTCGGCTGAGCATTTCTGTAACACTATAATGCATACATGTAAGTATTTGATTCTAACTGGTCATGGTGCAGGATTTTCTTGATTCTCCAGCTCATAAGTGTGATTGAGTTTATCACATGGTGGAATAACTACTGGATGTCTGATGACAGAAAGAAATCAAGGTTCAGAGATGCATTTTCTTTTAAATATATATAATAAGCCAATAAACTAATACTAGAACAGCATACAATTTGAACAATTAGTGTGGAAGACTAACCGACCAACATAACTGTTCAGCATTAAGTGCTTTTCTATGATTCAACTGTCTTCCTTTCAGTATATGAGAGGTCCCTTAAGTCCCATTCAGTTCCATCTATAATATATAAAAATCCTTGGAATTCGAAAATTGATAATGTTAGGTGATATCTTGTTCGAACAAAATGTGTTCTGGTTAGAGCTTGAACACAATGATGAAACTTATATCTGATCACATGCAAACATCGAATAACTATATGCCTACTTAATGTTCACTTGAGTTTCTACAGAAGTTTAGTGATATATATATTAGTTTCTTTAGACAAGGTTAACTGCAATATAAAGTTTTGCTTATTTCCCATGACAGCTGTTCTATCGGGCTTTTCATGTCAACAGTATTTTACATATCTTCTGTCTGTGGAATTGCGGTTATGTATGTGTTTTACGCCTCCAAAACTTCATGCACTCTCAACATATTCTTCATCTCTTGGACCGGTGTTCTTCTTATTGTGATGATGGCCATATCCTTGCACTCAAAGGTATGATCTGATGCATGTGATACAATCTAGCAATTATTTTCAACAATTTAATTGTTAGTTTGAAAAAGATAAATGAATAAAATAAATAAATAAAAAAGAAGAACTGCTACATGCATTATTGGAAGAGTTTATGAGATTAATTTATGCTGATGCAGTTTTCTTAATCTGAGATATGACTTTTTGTCGTGACTGACAGGTGAACAGAGGTCTGCTTTCTTCAGGGATAATGGCCTCGTATATTGTTTTCCTATGTTGGACTGCTATTAGAAGGTAGATAGTCTTAAATGTTTGTTGAAGTAATTATGTTCTCTTAACTGTGTTTGATAGAGTTTGTCCCATATTTAGGAGGGGAAAAATTTATGCTATCTCAACTTGGGAAAAAGATAATAGTTATATCACGTGTTGAATATATCATTTCTTAGACATCTCAAAATTTTACTTGTTCAGTTAGTACAGTAATAGATTTGCGAATTAGCGAAGCTGCCAAGAATTAATCCATACTATTGCTTTGCTTATTAGNATGGCATCATGCTTATCTCACTTTTGTGATACTTTCATTTAGTGAGCCCGGTAGTGAAAAATGCAGCCCTCAGAAGCCAGAAAGTGGACATATTGGCTGGCCTGCTGTTGTTGTAAGATTTTACATTCCCTTTGGATGATTTTTTTTTTATTTATATATATATATATATTTATATTTTCTTGCTACTCTTTGTTCTTCAAGTCTTCTGAGAACAGGTGGAGCAAATGCAGTCCTCTAATTTTCTTATTCTCTCTCTCTTTCTTCTGTTATTTTCCAGGGCTTTGTTGTTGCTTTATGTGCAATTGTGATTGCAACATTCTCGACAGGCATTGATTCCCAATCATTTCAGGTGGCTTACAATCGAACGCAATAAAAACAATGACGACCTTTGTTTCTATTAGAAGCAGAATAATTAAAAAGCTTGTAGTTCTATTAAATAATTTTTAGTAATACCTTCTTAACTACAAATGGTTTTATTTACAAAGTACACCTTTTGAAGGGGTATTCCTTATGCAAACAAACCTGAATGGGGTGTTTTGCAATTTCATTGAATGTCAAAAGTTACAATTTTTATTGCCCGACCCCAATTTTCTTACTTAAATTGTGGCATCACATTTGTTCTGTACATGTTAAAAGCATCAATAACTATGCTTGTAGTAAAATTAGTTTTTTGCAAAGGTTAATTAATTTAGCCTCTCTTTTTTGGCTGCAGCTACGTAAAAATGGATCTAAGTTGCTGGAGGATGACATTCCATATGGCTATGGATTTTTTCACTTGGTGTTTTCTTTAGGGGCAATGTACTTTGCTATGCTATTCATCAGCTGGAATTTAGGGAGCTTGACCAGAAAGTACGTAATGATAGATAATAGTCTTTCTTGTTCTCTTTTTAGTTTTTGCTTTGAAAAAAGAGCAGCTAGAAGTTGAGAACTAATATGATGTAAGAACTGTAGGTGGAGCATTGATGTTGGCTGGGCAAGCACATGGGTGAAGATTGTTAATGAGTGGTTTGCCGCTACAATATATTGTGAGTATCGATTTTTTTGAATATGTTGTTCGGATTTTTATACATGGTTCATGTAGTTCTTGTGCTCTCTTTCAGCTAATTGTGCATTGAACTATATTTTTAACGAATGTCTTGAATCGGCTTCGAATTATGAAGTTTTAATTTTCGTAGAAGGGAGCATGCATTTTACCTGGCAAACTAATGAATTTTTGCGCGTAGTTTGCTTAACTTTGGAAATAATACTTTAGCTTGCTCAATCTTGAACAATTTGCACTTAGCCTTCCTGGAAGCTAACTAGGACCTCTTTGGAAAATAACCTGCGCTTACTGTGTTTCGTATGATTTCTAATTCAAACTTTGTTGAAAATACGGACAGTGTGGAAGCTGATTTTCCCTGTATTGAAAGAAACAAAAGTTTCGAACCACGATGAAGAGTCTACAGAACAAGTGTAGTGGACCACATGCATGTGATTTTGATCTCTTATGCACAATGTAATGTTGCTATATATGTTGTTACTGGATATACATTATTCTTTATTTTTCTTATAATAATTTCTTTTCCTATAGTCAAAGTGATGAGGCTTACAATAGAATGACCACTGTAATTCATGTATTTAATAAAATGCTTGTAGTGGTCAATATTAGCTGGTTTTAGTTATCTGATCTGCAAGTAGACATGGCCCGGACCGCCAAGGGCCGCGGTTCTATCTCGGTTGGCCTATTTATTTTTTTTTGTCCTGGCGGTCCGGCCGGGTTGGACCGCACCGGCCCGAAAACCTGTCAGCCCAACTAGCTGTTGAGCCCGCCCGGGCCACGGGTCGGGCTGGTCAAGGTCGGGCCCAACGGTCCAAAACAAAAAAAAAAATAAAAATAAATTTTTTTTTGGGCCGTTGGNGAAAATATTAAAAAAAAAAAAATACCACATCTCCCATTCTTTTTTATTTCATCTTATTCTATATTATTTTTTTCTATTTTATATTTTATTCTCCTTAAATTAAAAAATATCGAGTTCTCGTGGTGGTCGTGGTTCGAATTCCGGACACAAACGTAAAAATATTGGCACGTCTTCCTCGAGACCTTCATTGCTGGAATTTGCGAGTCCATCGATAAATGTGGATGTTCCCGGTGTCGTCGATGATATTGATGACGCGACGATCGAGCGCATATTTTGCTCAATTCAGCCTGAGCAACAAAAGCACCAGCAGCTGTATCACGACCATTTAGATTATCTATTTGGAGCGTCCTCGCCGGAGGTTGAGCAACAGATGCAGGCTATGCAGCAGCAGCCGAACCCAGCCTCTGTCTTCGCCCGTGGTAGACCGGGATCTGCAATGTTCCAACAACATTACACGAAGTTGCCCAATCTGGAAAGAGGTGAGAATCACTTTTTTGCTGTTTGCAATTACTGTCCGGTCAACTACCAGAAGAAGTACCATTTCAAAAAAGGCGAAGGGTACGGATTGTTGAAGCGACACTTAAAGAGTTGTCATCCGACAAAATTGGGAATTGACACGGCACAGACGCAATTCCCGAGTAGTAGCGCTGCATCCGCCGCGGCTGATACAGGTACGCCATCTATATTTCATTACTCGCATGAAAATCATAGACATCATTTAGCTGAATTTGTTTCTGCTTCATCTCTTCCGTTTAGTTTTGGTGATAGTGGAACATTTTGCTCAAATGACTTTGAATCCGACTGCCCACCAGGTTCCACGTACTACTCTTACTCGCGATATTCGAAAAATAGTGGCTGAAAAAAATTAGTTTTGCAAGAAACCTTTAAATCTTTAAATCATAGAGTATCCATTTGTGCTGATATCTGGTCAGATCATTGTCAAAATAACTACTATGTGGGTATTACTTGTCATTTGATAGATGAAACTTGGAGTTTACAAAAACGTTTAATCGCCTATGTTGCATTTCATGAACGACACACTGCTTCTAATATTGCTCGTTTAATTTAAAATTTTTTGGATAAATATCAAATTGGTAAAAAAGTGTTTTCCATTTCGTTTGATAATGCTACTGCAAATACTGCATCTATATGTGAACTTACCGATATTTGCACTCCCATTTGCGGCAGAAGATTTTTTAATATTCGTTGTATATGTCATGTCTTAAATCTCTGTGTACAAGCTGGTTATCATGCTTTTAAAGATTCGGTCATGCCAATTAGGGACGCTGTTAATTATTTACATAAATGTCCCCAAGAAATGAAAGCATGGGGACGATTTTGTAAAAATCAAGAGTTGAGAGCTAAAAAAGTTCAACCGGACGTCCCTAACCGGTGGAACTCAACATTTAAATTGTTGAGTGACACGGTTCCGTTTATGACACAATTGCAGAATTTTTTTAACGATGCAAACCGTAAGGACTGTGATGCTCGAGTGTTAACAAAAGAGGGGCAGAACTGTAATGCACTTATTCAATTTTTAGAAACATTTCAAAATGCTACTAACATGCTTTCGGGTGTTTATTATCCTACTGCTCAGCTTGTGTTAAGTCAACCTATAGCCATAATGTGGGGTTTTAAAGATCGTTACTACATGGATTTTAATAAATATGAAGATTTAATAGAAGAAATATTAAAGAAATGGTTAAAATATTATTATTTCATTCCTGATACACATTTAGTTGCATGTTTGTTAGATCCTTCAGTACGTGAAGCTCGCTTGTTAGAGCAGCTTAACATGTACTATAATTATATGTATGAACTCCCAATGCCAACTGATGTCCCGACATACAGTAAAAAACCTAACATACTGTTGCTCGTCGAGCAAGCAAAATATTTGTTGTATGATATGTTTAGGGAAACAGAGATCGCACAAGGAGAACCTCCTAGCACATTTGTTCATGGTGGCGGCGGCAGCGGGTCTTCTTCTCACAGAAGTGGTCAAGTAAGCGCTTCAAACTACAAGGAGTGGTGGGCATCATTAAGTCCCTACCAGAATGCTGGCGTTGAAAGGGCAAAGGGAATTGGATACTATGAGCTTGATCACTACCTAACGTTGAATTTGATACTTACGATTGCTCGTGAACCAAGTCCGCCACTCAATTTCGATGTCTTGGACTGGTGGCCAAGAATGCAAGACATATATCCTATTCCTTACTTGATGGCTAAAGAGATTTTGGCTGTCCCAGCATTTACAGCTGCGGTCGAACAAGCCTTCAGTGAGAGAGGTTATATGCTAGATGCACGGCGGTCGAGGCTGACTCCCGAAAATCAACAAGCACAAATGCTGCTGATGGATTGGAAGAAGGCCGAGCGAAGGATGCAAACGTCTATGTTCGTAGACGAAGAAGCGGGCGACGATGCATCCAATTTTACGAGTACGACGAGTGGAACCGGAACCGCAGAAGACGAGTACGACTATTAGAGACAACCACTCATCTAAAGGTAAGTAAATCAAAAGAACTACGTGGACTTTGATTCCCAATATAAAGGATACGTAGGCAACTTAATTGAAATTTATAAGTAAAAATATCAATTTTTTGTCAGAAAAAAATTCAAGTTAAATGATATTTTAACTTAATAAATGTCAATTAAGCTCAAGTCTATTTTTTTTTTTTTAATATTAACTTTAAATATTATTTCACTCCAATAATTTTCACTAAATCATTGCTACTAAAAAATTGTGGTCATGATTAATTATATTATGATACATTAAAATTGATAGAATATATATAAATGTTAATAAATTTGTAAAAATATTTACAGAATAAAGATCAATATTTGTAGATGACATGTTTCAATTCTTAGACATTAACATTTATAATGACAAAACATTAGAAAATTGACAATTGAAGACTCTATATTTATAATTAATAAGATAATGAATAAGAAAAATTTTGTAAAGTAACAAGAAAACAAAAATATTAAAATATCTTAAAATATTGTTCAATAATTACATGGTTACATCACTAGAAGGATGTTCTATAACGGAAATAATCGCAGTTGGCATCGTGTACGGTGTTCGTAAATGTTCAACAATCACCCAACACTGGAAGAAAGCTGCAATCCTTTTTCACACACCACTAAAACTATTGGATTATTGTACCAAAATAATATATAGGTAAGTATGCAGCCAAGTCATCAACACTTCACGTTAGTTTGATACAATAATCCAACAGTTTTAGTGGTGTGTGAAAAGGGCTGTAGCTTTTTTGTTGTGTTGGATGATTGTTGAACATTTAAGGACCCCGTAACCGATGCTAACGGCAATTGTCTCCGTTACAAAACATCCTTCAGAAATTTAAGCAATAATATCAATTACATCAATGATTCCACGACCACAATCTTCCATTGTCGAATCTGCTTCCCACTCTCTTATACACCTATAATAGAGCAGTAAGAGTGCGATGACACAGAGCGACATACAGATTCTTCAATACTTGAAATTTGTTGATGTTAGTTTGTGTATACTTTCTCTATATTGCTGTATTGTAGGCGTATGAGAGAATGAGATGCAGGTTCCACAATGGAGATTGTGTTCGTGGCATTATTGACGTAATTGATGTTATTGCTTTGAACAGTATTTGGTCCACTTTTGGAATTTCTTGAGCTGTAAGTAAATTAAAAGAACTATGTGGACTTTGAATCCCAATATAAGGGATACGTAGGCACCTTAATTTACATATATAAGTTAAAATATCAATTTTTAGTCCAAAATATCAATTTTTTTAATATCAACTTTACATATTATTTCACTCTATTTCACTCCAATAATTTTCACTAAATCACTGCTACTAAAAAAAGGTGGTCATGATTAATTATATTATCATACATTAAAATTGATAGAATATATATAAATGTTATTAAATTTTTAAAAATATTTATAGAATAAAGATCCATATTTATATGGACAATTTTGAATTCTTAAAATTTAACAAATTGAATTACAAAGCATTGGAAACTTGACAATGCAAGATTTTATATTTATATTTAAAAAAATAATGAATAAGAAAATCTTTATAAAGTAACAAGAAAACAAAATAATTAGATTAAATCACTACAAATATCTTATAATATTATTCAACAAAAATGAATACATTATTACATCACTAGAAGGATGTTCTATAACCGAGACAATCGCAGTTAGCATCGTTTATGGTGTTCATAACATCAATGACACCAATGATGCCACATCCATAGTCTTCATTATATATTATGTTTTCAACTCTCTAATAAACCTACTATAGCACAAAGTAAAGAAATATGACACGAACTTAGTCATTGTCGGAATTCTTACTCAATTTCCATGAAATGATTGCAAAATAATTTACCGGTAAACTTGCATTCGAGTCATCAACACTTCACGTTAGTTTGATACAATAATGCAATAGTTTTAGTATGTGTGAAAAAGACTATAGCTTTCTTGTAGTGTTGGATGCTTGTTGAACATTTAAGGACCCCGTAAACGATGCTAACAACAATTCTCTACGTTATAAAACATTCTTCACAAATTTAAGCAATAGCATCAATTACATCGATGATACCTCGCCCACATTCTCCCATTGTGGATCCAGCTTCTCACTCTCTTATACGACTACAATAGAGCATTAAGAGAGCGATGACATAGGCCGACATACAGATTCTTCAACTTGAAGTTTGCTGATGTTAGTCTCTGTATACTTTCTCTATATTG